GCTTCGTTGTGTGCGGTGGAGATTGAGTTTCGACACCGTAAATTTTGGGGTTTCATCTCATTTCTTCTTCAAAACTTGAGGTAGAGATTTTCTTAGAGTTATATATATATTTTTGCAAGATCTATATGATTTTCGAAATCATCTTTCGATAGCTTTGAAAACTGATCGTTGATTCAAGAAGTTGAGCGATTTTGAAAGTGGGTTTGTCATTTGTTCTTTTAAAATGATCTTATGGGTTTTGATCTTCGTTGATTAAAGAAAAGATGATTTTGGAAAGTTTTCTTTCAAAAAATTTGAGTTGTATAGTTTTGGTGAGAAAACCTAGAATTTGGGGATTTCTTTTAGAGACTGAAAATCCATGAATGATATTGTTATATTTATTTTGTGTGTCAAAATAAATGGATGTTTGGAAAATTTCTTATTTATATTTATATAAATGATGAATTTCAGGGAATATGAGAATTGTTGTTCATTTTAGAAATTATTGTTCAAAACGTTCAAATAGTCTTGAAATGACTAATTGTTGAGGATACTTGAGAAGGGGGAATTGTGTTATTCCTTGGATGATGAATTGGAATAACAGTATTTATATTCATCTTGTGTTATTGGCATATCAATTTATTTGATTACATTAAACTTTGAAAGTTGATTTGAAAACTTACATTGAGAAAAGAATGTTGAGAAACAAGTTTTCATGGAATGGTTTTGGGGTAAATACTTTGGTAAGTCTTGATAGGTGGTGTAGATGATATTGAATAAGTTGGCCTAAGAGTCCGGGGTGAAAGACCGAAAACCCGCGCGGATAGGTGTCGAGCCTTCCAGTTAATACCAGTAAAAATGAGAAATTGGTCGTACTTGTATAGTCTTCTTGCAAACATCGACCTAGGGATTACCAGAGTCGTATTTACCACCCTTGAAATAAATTATTAAGTTTTGAATAATTGAAATTGCATGACATCATTGAGCATGATGGTTTTCAAAAGATGAAAATGTGATTTATCTTCAAAAAGGGCATAGCATGGCATGTGCATTCTATCTCTTGAGACTTGTATAAAATGTATATATTTTGTTAAGGATTTCCTACTGGGCTTTATGCTCACCCTACGGGATTTTTGTGCAGGAAAAGATGTGGTGATGTCGCCTAACTAAAGGCGATAAAATGTGTGTTGAGAGTACGAGACTCTTATTTTGCTGTGACTCTGTGTGTAAGCCAAGGGCTGTATGTGTGTGGGTTTGAATAACCATTTTGTGTAACCAGGCTCAAGCCTTGAAAACTTATAAACTCTTGGGGGTATTTATTTATTTATTTACTTGTTGTTGGATTAATGTATTGTTGCATAAAGAACTATTGTATCATGTAATGTAAGTTTGGAGATTTATATTCGGTTTTCCTTGAAAGAGCCATGATTGTTGTATTATCATTTGGGCAAAAAAATTGGGGCGTTACAAAATCCATCAAAGGCAACCTTTCCAACATCATTTCTAAGGCTCAATTCAAGAAAATTCACTTCAAAAACATGATATAGGAACATAGGAAGCATGAAACACAAGCTCAATGAGATTAAACTTCTTTCAAATTCCAAATAGAAACTCTAACTTCCATATTTTCTTCATTTTCTTTATCTTTTCATGGTATATACAAACATATATACATACATAAGTTCAAGGCATGCACAGAGGATCAAAACATGCAAAGACGATGATCAAGAAACAATTCCTCACAACCCAACTCAAATCAAACTAAAAATAAAGGAATCAACTCTTTAAATAAATGTGAAAAATCTATGGTAATTTCATATTATTTGTTCAAGCAAGATTATAACTCATAAACCCTAACTTCCATGAGTGTCAAAGCTTCATTTTAAGTCTTGATTCTAATCAATTGAAGAAAATTTAGAGTAGTTGAGTTGGTTTACACTTACCTTGAGTTAAATCTTTGATTTGCCCCTTCAATTCGCAAGCTTCAAGCTCCTAAATTGAGTTCTCCTCTTCTTCTCTCTTTTCTCTTCTTTCTTTCTCTAGAAGTTCTCCAGGAGATATTTTATTTGTCTTTTTGAGTCTAAGTTTCAACTAAGGCTTAAGTATATATCTCTTCTGTAGCTTTATTTGAGTCTAAAGTGAGCTTAATTAAGAAATTAGCCAACTAATTCATTATGAATCAATTTTTTACAAAACTTCATATTATAGCCTAAAAGTCATGCTAATCATAGATGTAAAGTTAATTTCCGGTTATTGCGCTTCTAAAGCTTCCAATTTTCAATCCAAAGGTTGTAAATTCAACAGATTTTCTTATAATCGACAAATACAATTCCATAAACATGTAATTCACACATTTAAACATATAATTCACATCAATCACATAAACACACATATAATGAGGAAATTAAAGCGTATGAGAGGGTCGGGTTATTACAAGAATTCTAATTCTCTCTCTCTCTCTCTCTCTCTCTCTCTCTCTCTCACATTCTCAGACTATTTGTTCCTTTTTCACTTTTGAGTCCATCATCTCCAGTGAGCATTTGTTTTGGCCTTTTGCTCAATTCAGCATAGCCCTTATGCTATGCCCATTGATTGTTTCAATATCACTTTTGACCATTTTTTTGTTACTATTATATATTTTGATAATAGTGGTTTAATTTTGACATAGAATCATGGTTTTAAATTAAAATCGAACTATCACCATAGGTTTTGTTTGGTACGAGAGATTCTGTTTGGTTCAATTTCATCACGTACACAGTTTTCATTAGTTCTCAGTAAAAAATTAATTACAAATATAAAAGATATCAAAGTGCTTGAAATATGAGAATTAACTTCAAAATTTATCTTTTATTTTGATTGCCAACAACTTGAAACATGAGCAATAACTATAAACTTTCAATGGTTATGTGGGTTAATTTAGAAATTTAAGTAGTTAGTAGTATTAACCACAGTTGGAAATGATGACATAGCACATACATAATCACATCTAAGCCCATTAGATAATTCTGTCATATTTCTATTACAATATTTTAAATTTTGCTCAAACTCCTAGATGTCTCGAGAATTTAAAAAATAGTAATTTTTTCTATTTACAAAAAATACATAAAAAAATCTTTGCCCATTTATTACAAATTTTGAATTTTGAATTTTTAAATTTTTTTTTTTTTTTTGAAATTCTAGAACAGTTCAAACAGTAAAACCTTTTCAACAACACTACCATCTCCTTCCAATGGTCAAAATTTCAAATTAATGATCAAGATTTACTTAAAGTATGGATCCATATTAGAAATTTAAAATATAAACCACTGATCTACTTACTTAAGAATTAAGTCTGAAGTATATACTTATAATTGAGTTTTCAGATTTAGAGTAGTTGTTGGAGCTACAAACTAGATTCTGGCCTGTAAAATCGAATGATTGTCTATATTCCTAGATTGCAAGGTGTGAGGGGTGGGTTTACAATACTCTTTCACTCCACACAAGCCCTTGAAAGATCCTCGCTTGATACCTGAAACAGGAAAATATTCAAGTAAGGGGTGCTGGAAATAGCACTTCAACGAGCAAGTTAGTATTTTGAAAAGAGGAAGAAGTGTTTATAATTTTTGAAGTCTTAGTGATTAAAGGATACCTTTCCTTTACCATTACTTTCATTTTATAGAGATATTTCCATAGATATTTTCTCCTGTAGTTTTTATATATAGGGTTTAAAATTTATAAATATATTCACACACACACACACACACATATATATATACATGTATATACATATATATAGGGTTTAGGATTTATATATATATATATAATATGTATATATATAAAGTGCCTATTATATATATGTGTATAATATATAAATATATATAATAGTCACCTTATATATATATACATAGTTTGGCTGACGATTGTTTTACGTGAGAGAGAATCTACTGAGGATCTGTACTTGTGAGGTGAGGGAGATAATACGGGATCAATTTGTGGGTATTAAAACGTGGGGTAGAATAATTTCTCTTGGTCATTTTATTGTGGTATTGGATGGTGTTTGTTGACAAGAGTGTAAGTTTAGATAATAAAGGAGATGACAAAGTGATAGACACAGAAGATAGAGAGAGAAATTACCTTACTTTTTCTTCTCATTCGCCACGTTTAGAACCAACTTGAGTGGTTTCGTGTGGTTAGTTATAAGAGTTGAAAAACCCCTTTATCTAAGAGAGAGAGAGAGAGAGAGAGAGAGAGAGAGATTCTTCAGGGGCTTGTGTGATTAGTTGTGAAAAATGAATATAGACATTTTTACTTGTAGAAAGAGTTTGCTTAAGAATTAAGACTAAAGTATACTTATAATTGAGTTTTCAAATTTAGAGTAGTTGTTGGAGCTACAATCTAGATTATGGGCTGTAAAATTGAATGGCTATCTATATTCCCAGATTGCAAGGTATGAGGGGTGGTTTTACAATACTCTTTCACTCCACACAAGCCCTTGAAAGATCCTCGGTTTTGATACCTAAAACAGGAAAATCTGCCCGTCGAGGGTACTGGAATTAGCACTCCAGTGAGAAAGTATTCTGAAGAGAGGAAGAAGTGTTTAAATTTTGAAAAATTTTAGTGATTAAACCATACGTTTTCCTTTACCATTACCTTTCATTTATAGATATATTTTCATAGATATTTTCGCCTGCAGTTTTTATATACAGGGTATAGATTTACACATATTCACACAAACACACACACACACACACATAATATACATATAATAGCAACCTTATATATATATATATATATAATAGCCACCTTATATATATAATTTTAGTTTGGCCGGCGATTGTTTTACGTCAGAGAGAATCTGCACTACAAACCTAGCACTATGAAGGATTTGCACTTGAGAGGTAAGGGAGATAATACGGGAGCAGTTTGTGGGTATTAAAATGTGTGGCAAAATAATTTCTCTTGGTCATTTTATATATATGGAACAAGATTTGAAGGCAACTGACATAAGAGTAAACCTAGTTACATAATTGCTTGACAAACAATCAACCAAACCAAACTAGAGATGTTTTGTTCAGGTTGACTGGCATTGTGACTTCAAGGCTTGGCTTAACTATATTGAGCTGTTTAGTTATGTTGTGTCCATTCAGATGAGGCATGACTGGATCAATTTCTTGACATGAGATTGAGCTAAGCTTCACAACGTCGATCACTTGTTCGACTAATTCAGATAACTTCTCTGGTATTTGATTAGAAGAAAACTTTTGATCTTTCGCAACAACTTTCTTTGGGTTCTTATATATCACATAAAGCACCATTTGAATAATTCCAAAAATAAACCCCAAGACATTCAGAATCTATTATAAAAAATATATTAAAAAAAAGGTGAATTCTTATTAGTATAGCTTCATGGGAATGTAAAAAATAATAAGAGCTTTAAGTTTTGTAAACAAACTTACAGCAATATTGAAGTCTTTTATTAGAAGGCCATAGAAGAACCACATGACCGCATTAAGCGTGAGCGAAAGTGATAAGGAAAATGGCATGAACTCTGCGCTCTTTGTTCGTATCACATGTTTCTGAAGAACAAAAACAAAAAATAATAATTAATACAATAACATACAATATATAAATAAAATGAAACCATAATGAATTAGTGCATGTATATATATATATTTACCAATATGCAGAGAGGAGTGGCAAAAATGCTTATAGAGAACACTAGGCAAATCCAACCAACAATGTGAAAGCGGGTTGAGCTTTTTTTTGACAAGAAATTGAATTAAGAAATTGAGTCATTTGCCTTCAACCTTAGTTTTGGCTTTAATGAAGTTTTGGGTGGTGTATCAGTGAAAAATAGTGAACCAAATGGAGAAGAAGGTTGAAGATGAGGTGTGGGTGAACAAAATTTTGTTACCTTTAATAATGAAGAGGGAGGGCCATATTTATAAAGTTTTGAGGGAAAGAAAATATCTGAGATATTTGCAGAGGCAGCCCAAAGGCAAAATATCTAAGATATTTGTGTAAAATCTGGAGAAAATGCCAAATTTCCAGAAACTGCTCTGTTTCTTGGGCAAATCATCCAGCCAGACACAAAATCATTTGGCCAGACAGTTTTTTAGAAGGGGAAAATAAGGTTTGTTTGTTTGTTTTTTTTTTTTTTTTTTAAATTATCATTTCTTCCACTCATTTCCACTTTCTCCTTGCTCAATTTACTAAGAAAATATAATACTTGAATTTTGAAAATGCGAACCTCAGAACTTTGTAGATATTTTTGGATCCACTCTGAAAAACAAAAAAACATTTTGAAAAATATTTTAAAAAGGATCTAAAATAGTTTGGCCAAAACAAGTGTAAGGTTGGGGTTAAAACTTTAACCTGGTTGTCCTGCTGAGGAATTCCTAAGATAGCACTTTCAACTTTCATCATCAGATGTTCGGAAAAGAATGCTCAAATCTTAAGGAGGGTCAAAATGGGATGTCTACAACTTCACCTCTTAAAGAGGATGAGTTCTTATGTTCACAACCTCTAAGATCCCTCAAGAACTTTTAAATATGTTCTTCAATGTACAAAATTCCTTTGCCCAGAGCTCAGGATCAAGCTTTGATGGAGAACTTAGTGTTAAAGTTGAAGGTGGTAAGTGGGAGACAAGGGAAGAAGGGGAGGAAGGGAGGGAGGAAGGGAGAGAGAGAGAGCTCTTAAGCCTTACTATGCCTTGGGCAAGTTTTTTCAACCTATTGAAATGAGCTGGCGAGCTCTATGTATAGAGCTCATGTCACGAATATTTGAGATATTTGGGGTAGGTAAGCAAAAAAAGATGAAATTCCTGAAAATGCTCTATACCTAGAACATTCAGTCGGCCGAGCTTCCTACTAATCGGCCGAATGCTTTTGTGGCCGGCTATCATATGGTGTCCGACTAGCCAATGGGAAAATCGTTAGATCAACAAAAGCAGGCTAGTCTAAATTGAAAGGGGGAAATAAGTATTTCAGAGGATTTCATCATTTTTATTCACTTCCACTATATTCTTCGCTCAGTTTGTTTGAAAGAATACAATGCCTTGATTTTGAAAATATGAGCCTTAGAACATTACGGTAACATCTAAAGTTGCAGAACTAAAACTCATTTTGAAAGAGGTTTCCATTTTGTTCGAAAAACATTTTGTCCAAAATAGGTCGTTAGAGGATTTAATACTCGATCCTTAGACCTCCTGCCGTGGAACTTGCAAAGATTAACACCTCTCATTTTTATCATCTGGAACTCAAAAGGGAGAATCCAAGTCTCAAGGCTAGTAAAAAATGGGTTGTCTACAATTGTATAGGATGCTTTTGGGAGGATGTCCCATGCCTTCAGTGAAAACTCTTTGTAGAGATCAAAATTTATAGTATATTCAATGAAATCCAATTTCTTTTTATCAAAAACCTTTTATTTCTCTCAAGTGATTGGCCTTTTGTGCTTCTTTCATTAATCTAGTAATGACTCCATAAACAGGACTCAAAGAAAACAAAATTACAACTTGAAAATGCTGTACAAATAACGTGATGACCTAACATGACCCTAACATAGATGCCGAAATGCCCCCATTGTCTCTGAAGTGCCATGCCCTAAATGAGCGAAACTTCCTATAACAACCTATTTTGAGTGACCGCTTGAGCGGTCAATTGGTCGCTCGAGCGGATAAGCAGAGCTCCTAGTATCTTGCTTGTTTGTAAGTGAGATCGCTCGAGCGGTCAGGTGGTCGCTTGAGCGAAGATATCAAGCTTCCAGTAGTTTCATTGTAGCTCTACAAAACTTCTACGAACATGTGTTTACCGCTCAAGCAGTTGATAGTTCGCTTGAGCGATCTCCTTATGTTGTGCACATCACTCGAGCGATGAAAAGTTCGCTCGAGCGGTCTGTTTGGGACAGGAACATTAAATTTCAATCCAAACACTTTTTGAACTCACTTTTCACACTTATTCTTTCTCTAAACCCCTTTTTCTGAAGACCTGGCCTCTAAACACTAGATTTCATATATTTTGAGTTAGAATCCATCCTTGCTCCTTCATCAAAATCATTCATCTTATCAAGGGCTACATTTTGAACCGATTGGATCTTAATACTGTGAAATTTCATCTTTTGGGTCTTCATCTCTCTCTCATAACACTCAAGGTAAGAATATCTTTATCCTTGTATATTTATAATTTGGGTTAAATGTGTGTAAATCTTATGGTATGGGTATATGATTTGGAATGGGTGATATATATATATATATATATGGATATTTGTGATGATAGTGAGTTTTGCCCAAAATTGGTGAAAGATTTGAGTATCTACTAATGAAAATAGTGTAAAAAGCACAAATCAAGGAATATAAAGGCATGAAAGGAAAAGTCCTAAAATTATTGTAAAACCCTAAATGTTGTTCATGGATCATAATTAACAATGGAAGAGACATAAATGAGTAAATTGGAAGGGTATTGAGATTCTTGTATTGTGATAAGAAATTAGTTGTGGAATGCACTTGTTGTGTGCTATGGCCTTACCCGCGCGGGGAAATTGAGGTACCCACTTGCCTAGTCGTGTGAGGATGACAAATGTGGAGATGTTTTGAGGTGTCAACTTGCCTGGTCATGTGAGGATGACAAATATAGAATAGTTGAGGTTCCCACTAGCCATCTGTGTGAGGACGGAGAAATGTGGAAATGAAGATAAAGTTGTGATTTGTTTTAGAAAAATTGGACACATAGTACCCATGGGCATTAGTAGTGATCATGCATATTTTACATCAAATGTTTATATGCTCAGTTAAATATATTTTGTACTCGAAAATTGCTCATTCCCATCTAACAACATTTCAGGACTCGACAAATCGCAATCACACCAGTGAAGAAGGAGATGACAACCCTTTTTATTTTATTTTAAAAAGTGTGATCTTTTGAAGTTGTAATTGAATTGTCGAACTTTTGTATTATTCTCTTTTTTCATACATGTCCTCTTGTTTTAATGGCCACGTTTGAAATGTGTTAACCTAAAGGACAATGGTTTAGTTTTCTCTAACTTATTGAATTGTGAATAGTTAATATGTAATTTGTGTAGGTTGAAATCTATAGTTCAATGAGAAAGAGAATTATTGGGATTGATGTTGCATTTGTTTGGGAATATGAAGCATGTTTGTAATTGATGTCCTATTGGAAATTATTTGGGGGCGTTACACTTTCTTTGTCAGCATAGGATGTGAACACGCGCCATGGATGTGTGTATGCACCAAGAATGTGTGCACGCATAAGTTACATGTGCTCGCATAACTAGTCGCAGTATTCAAGTTTTAGGGTTTTGCTTCTTTAAGCGGTTGTTGCTCTATTTTGGCCTATAAATACTCCCTTCTGCATGAAGGTTTCTTCACATAAGTCTCCTCTAAATAGTTTTTGTCACCAAACCTTGCTTTTTATCTTTAGTTTGTAGCCATGTTTTCCCAAAATGGTTTATCAACATGGATGGATAGCTTGGATGGCGCCAAGCATGTCAACTTTCGTAGTTATGGTTTGAACTCTGTGTTTCCTCTTAGCAAGTTGAACATTGACTTGCCTTTACATAGTGCGGTGGCTTGATTTTGGGATCCGAACGTCCATGTTTTCAGGTTTGGTCATCTAGAGCTTTCCTTTACTTTTGAGCAATTCAAACCTTTGTTGGAGTGTCCTCTGAGGGTTGACTTGGTTCATCCAACTCTGTTGGTAGGCTATCCCAAGCTGCCCAGAAAGATTTGCGGGTTACTTCCGAGAGAGGACAAGGCCTGTGTCCGGAATGGTAAACTATCAATCATCACTTTGATTGATAAGTTTACCAATGGGTGAGATTTGAGGGATTGAAAATTCTAGGAGTGCAAGCGGGCTACTCTGTGTATTTGCTTGCTTGCTTGCTCGATTCTTGGTAGCACCGAGTAATGGGACAGTTTGCCCTGTCTTCGTTGACATGGCCAAATAGGTTAGGGACGGGAAAAGCTTTGTTGGGTTGGTCTTGGCAGAAACCTTGATGGGTTGGGACAAGGTTTTCGCTGATAGGACTGCGAATTTTCCTGGGAGTCCATTATTACTTCAGGTACCACGCATCTCACTTGGTTTCTCATCTTTCACCTCTCTATTCTTTTGTCTCTATTATGTTTTTAGCACACCCTAACTCACTTTTTCTACTCATCTCACAATTCTCTATTCTTTTGTCTCTCTTTTATTTTTCTCTATTTTTTCTAGATTGACTTATGGACAAATTGAAGGTGTGGGTGACTTCTACCCATTACTCGGCAATCTCACATCATACCCGTGCCCAGTTGGTGATGATGGATTCTATTGAAGACTGGTATGGTTGGTTGAGTTCCCGAACTTACAGAGACATACCTTGGAGTTTCTTCTAGTTAGGACTTCCAATCATGACTAGAGAGATGTCCTCATTTTTAGGCATAGAGGTAGTTGGCCTGTCTCACATAGCCTATTATTTCCCTCATCGGATTCTGTGACAATTTGGAAGTGAGCAGGTGGCTCATTTGGGTTCCCCTTCGTACCCTCTTTTTGTTTTCTCGGCTTCTCACTTGAAAGCAAATGCCAAAGCTTGGTAGGGCATTCATTGAGTGGCATGAACTTGAGATTTAGTGGATTGCGACACATAGAGGATAAAAGGCTGAGTAATTTTGACTTGGCTCATAGTGCCTCTAGTTTAAAGTTTGAATCCAATTTATTATCAATAAAATAGTGCAATGAAGTTCATTCCTTTTGTTTTGAAAATGTTGTGTAAATGGTCAATCAGAAAAGGAACACAAATCACTCAATCTTCTCATTTAAAAACAATCCAAATGGCAATTTTCGCAAGCTCACTCACTCTTCTCATTTAAAAACAATCCAAATGGCAATTTTCGCAAGCTCACTCACTCTTCTCATTTAAAAACAATCCAAATGGCAATTTTCGCAAGCTCACTCACTCTTCTCATTTAAAAACAATCCAAATGGCAATTTTCGCAAGCTCACTCACTCTTCTCATTTAAAAACAATCCAAATGGCAATTTTCGCAAGCTCACTCACTCTTCTCATTTAAAAACAATCCAAATGGCAATTTTCGCAAGCTCACTCACTCTTCTCATTTAAAAACAATCCAAATGGCAATTTTCGCAAGCTCACTCACTCTTCTCATTTAAAAACAATCCAAATGGCAATTTTCGCAAGCTCACTCACTCTTCTCATTTAAAAACAATCCAAATGGCAATTTTCGCAAGCTCACTCACTCTTCTCATTTAAAAACAATCCAAATGGCAATTTTCGCAAGCTCACTCACTCTTCTCATTTAAAAACAATCCAAATGGCAATTTTCGCAAGCTCACTCACTCTTCTCATTTAAAAACAATCCAAATGGCAATTTTCGCAAGCTCACTCACTCTTCTCATTTAAAAACAATCCAAATGG